TATTTCCTGTGCTTCTGAGAATATGGTTTATTGTCTCTATACGGTGGATACACTACATAATGGTTTGCTACTGGCCGCTTCTTCCCAGCTTTGGTGACGTCACAGTGGTAGCTTCAAAACAGCCACAACAGTAGTATTTATGGGATGGATGTCGGTACGTTTGTAGATCAGGGTGTTCTTGTTTCGTTTTGCTTTTCTGGAAAGCTAGTTGTTTAATATTTCCTGCCACGGGACTTAGGCAAAAGAGTTTGAGTTTTTTCATAGAGAAAGAGAATCATCTTATTGGTTTGGATGAAGGAAAAGGGGATGGTCAGTATGACTCACAAGTTTGATGTGTGTAACGGGGTGATGTGGTGCCATTACTGTAAGGGGACCTGTGTGTGGGGAGGCACATATAGGGGAAAGGTAACAAGGTTTGTCCTGACTACATCTGGAGGCTAACATCCATCCCAGTTCACTAAATACTTGGTTTTATGGGTCTGGGGCTCAAGACAAAAGTCTGGAATGGAGGAATGGACTTGAATCATCTACATGCGAGTGGGGTTAAAATTAGGAGCAGGGTTGCTTAAGCTAAGTAGCGGGAGAAGAGGGCCAGTATTAGAACTCATGGGAATGTTCACTTTGAAGCAGTGGGTGAGGGGTAGAAGCCAGCAAATGAGGCTGCACAGCGAGTCAGAGCTTCCTGGGGGTAAGTAATGTCCGGACAGAGCTCCTGACCTCAGTGGTCCTTTCATAGAGGGAGGCTGGCATATACGTGAGAATTTAAACACAGTAAGTCCTATCAAAAAGATGAGAACAGGGGCGCCTATTAAGGTTAAGAGTCTGACTCTGGATTTCGGCTCAGGTCATGATCTCATGGTTCATGAGTTTGAGCCTGCGTAGGGAGTTCGAGTCTCACATCAGGCTCTGCACTGACAGCACAGAACCTGCTTGGGATACCCTCTCTCTCTTCCTCTTTCTCTGCCCCTCCCCTGTTTGTGTTTTCTCTCTGTGTCTCTCAAAATAAATAAACATTAAAAAAACAAAAAGGTGAGAACAGAATGCACAGAGGACCCAGTGACAAACTTCTTAGAAACAGAGGTGGGAAGGAGTTGGGAAAGGCTTTCACTGAGGAACAGACATTTGATTTTTTATTACTATTATTATTTTTTAGAATTTTCTTTTTTTAAAATATAATTTATTGTCAAATTGGTTTCCATACAACACCCATTACTTAAAGTCCCAACAAGTGCCCATCACCCACTTTCCCCTCTCCCCCACCCCCATCAACCCTCAGTCTGTTCTCAGTATTTAAGAGACTCTTATGGTTTATCTCTCTCCCTCTCTGTAACTTTTTTTCCCCATCCTCTTCCCTATGGTCTTCTGTTAAGTTTCTCAAGATCCATATATGAGTGAGAACATGATATCTGTCTTTCTCTGACTGACTTATTTCACTCAGCCTAATATTACCTCCAGTTCCATCCATGTAGCTGCAAATGACCAGATTTCATTCTTTCTCATTGCCAAGTAGTATTGCATTGTATAGATAAACTACATCTTCTTGATCCATTCATCAGTTGATGGACATTTAGGCTCTTTCCATAATTTGACTATTGTTGAAGAAGAATTTTCTGCTAGCAAACCCCTGAAAGCCCAAGAAAAGGGAGAGCCCGAATGTCTGGAAGGATAATTTCCTCAAAAGACACTTTTGGTTAAAAAAGAAAAATTGCCTGCCTCTTCCTAGGTATATTCTCTCAATGTACCAAAGCTCCACATTGTTTTTAATCAAACCAACTATGTATACTACATTATATGTTTCTGAATTAAAAATTATTTTTAGATCTATATTTAAAGGGGATCTTTAAAAGGTGTAACTAAATTCCTCCCATCTTCTTTCCTTCAGAAAATAAGAGTTTCTTAGTTATTTGGGTTTTGTTTTTAAAGTTTCAAATTTAATGAAAATTTGGAATATTGCCTTCAGGCACTGAATAGTTTTGGGGCAGAGTCATGCTCTCCTTGCCATCTCCATGTTTTGTAAAGCTCAGCCTTGCCCAAGGCTCTTTCCCTCCTCTCCTCCACACAGAACTTTCTATCGGCTATTCAGGGAAGAGCATACTGTTTAGATTTGGTCTGGAGATGCCTCTAAGCTCAACAGATGCAGCAAAAGCAAATTTATTCTGTGACCTCACTTCGCCTTCCTTACCAATGGCGTTTGCCTTATCTCTTTCCATTGCAAATGCGGACGTTGTTGTGAAGGGTCACATCACTTTTAACATAATAACATAATGTGGGAGTTTTAGGGGACAAGGCGCTCAGGGGCTGCTGGTTGTTCAAGCATTTTCTGTGTCACTGGATACACGGCATGGAGGGGTTTTAGAGAAAAAAGAGAGAGAGAGAGAGAGCGCGCTTTGGGAAAAAATAAGGAAAAAACCCACGAAAGTAATTAGCAATGTCTATGACTTCATTGAAACAAAATCATCTGGAATTTGTAATGATGGAATTTAATCTGCAAAGCTAGATTAAATTTTAAAATTGGCTTTTCATATCTTCAGATCGTGAAGGGTCCTCCTCCTCCCCTTTTGTAACCTTTGAACGTTTGGAAGGATACCACACAATTAACGAGGAGAATGAGGTGTTGTAGAAGTACCCCCTTCCTTGTCTCTTTTCCTTACTAACCCCCAGGAATTATGTCCACCAGTTTCTCAGGGGACTGTGCTCTGTGCACGATAAACGTGAAAAAGTAGTGACTCTTATGTGTATGTGTCATTGTTCTAACTGTATGGTAATTATTTAATCCTTATGCTTTATTATCCAGCTTTATGTCACTTTACAGCTGAGGAAGCTTCCAGGTTAAGTAAATTGCTTACTTACATGGTTTGTAAACGGTGAGCCTGGATTTAAACCCATGCTGTATAACCACTATGCATATTGCCTCTACGGGTATGCTGTGAATCTCTAAGCATGCTTATTACATTTTGATATTTAACCTTAGAGAACTCTCGTGGGCAGGGCCCTTTTCTCTTCGTCTTTCAAATCCTCGTACTGGCAGTGTCTGGGTAGAGCAGGCCCTTGAATGGCCACCCTGCCATTGCTATCAGCTCACTCTGGCACCAGGTACCGCGGCACATGCAGGGCTCCTGTGTATTTGCTTGGTAAATGATTTCTGTTCAGTATAAAAGGTAATAGATGGTAGTTGTGTAGGACCTTAACCTGTTTCATATCTGTGTCAGGAGTCCTGAAGGCCGCCCATAGGTTTGATGATTTGTTAGGATTCACGGGACTCAGCACATGGTTCTACTCACAGCTATGCTTTCTTAGGGAAAGGACACAAAGCAAAATCTGCCAAGGAAAAAGGCACATGGGCTGAAGTCTGGGTAAATGATGCACAAGCTTCCAAGAATTCTCTCCCAATGGTCCTGCCAGATGAGCTGACATTCCCTGTCACGAGTTGTGAGGGCACACGCAATGCTGTCCACCGGGTAGTTTGTGACATTCAGTGCCCAGGTATTGGGAGGTGGTCACTTAGGCAGTCTCCGCCTGGCACTTACAATTCCAGATTCCCAGAAGGAAAGGTCGTCAGCACAAACCACACTGTTCATACAATAGACGGTTTAGGTATAGTGAGCCACGTTTACCAGTACTGGGAATGGTGGAACCTTCCTAAAAGCCAAGTTCCCAGACGCCGGCCAAGGGCTCATTTTGTAAGCAGGTCTCTCTGAGGCTTTCCTTGGCTCAAGAATTTCATCCCAACAATTTTCTCTCGATGTAGGTAGCGTTAATCAATTTAGTTAAGTTTCACTTTGACAGACATAACCTAAGAAGGCTAAATGAAGTCCAGCCAAACTTAAACGCTAAGACACCAACTCAATAATACTAAGGCTTACTGCTGCACAAGCCCAGTTTAGTTATTGAAAACAACTTTATAGGGGCGCCTGGGTGGCTCAGTCGGTTAAGTGTCCGACTTCGGCTCAGGTCATGATCTCACTGGTTCTTGGGTTTGAGCCCCACATCGGGCTCTGTGGTGACAGCTAGCTCAGAGCCTGGAGCCTGTTTCGGATTCTGTGTCTCCCTCTCTCTCTCTCTCTCTCAGAAATAAGTAAAAAATTTAAAAAAATTCTTTAAAAAAAAAAGAAAACACCTTTATAAATTGGAGTTCATATTTTCTTACTGTCTGTGCACTTCAGAAAGCCCACTGACTTAGATGGCTATCACCTGGCCCTTTGTACTTAAGGCACATATTAATAGAAACAGAATGTTTCTGTAGGTAAGCAATAATACATAGAGATTAACCACCTCGTCAGAATATGAAAATACTCCATCGCTAAGATCAAATCCCATTTAAATAACATATAAAGTCAAAATTTAGAAGTGATAGGTTTCCTTTACATCACTGTAAAGTTTTGAGCCTTTGAAAAAGGATAACCTTGGGGCGCCTGGTTGGCTCAGTCCAACTCTTGATTTTGGCTCAGGTCATGATGTCACCATTTGTGAGATCAGCCCTGCGTTGTATTCCGTGCTGAGAGTGTGGAGCCTGCTTGGGATTCTCTCTCTCTGCCATTCTCCCACTTGCACAAATGCATATTCTCAAAATAAATAAACTTCAAAAAAAAAAGGATAACCATAATTTTAAGCTCAAATATAACATGTAGAATATAATCATATTCTGACTTTTTGAAATTTATTACACTTCAGACATTTTTCTGGTCATTTCAGATTTCAATAAGCACTGTCCTATATTCTGTGAATAGCATTTTCAAATCAGGAGAGATTTTACAGATTTCCATATATGACTGACAACAAAGGACAAAAGATTCAAGCTTTATTAACAATTCTAAGTAGAAGAGACCATGACTAAGAGCTAGTTAACATAAGCATTTAGCAAATAAATCTCTTGAATAAAAAAGTAGGAAATCTTTTAATAAAAAAAAAAATCAACACACAACATGGATAGATCTAGAGGGCATTAGGTGAAGTGAAATAAGTCAGACAGAGAAAGACAACATGGTATTATTTCACTTACATGTAGAACTTAAAAAGCAAAACAAAAAACAAAGCACAAACAGACCTATAGATGCAAAGAACAAACTAGTAGTTGTCAGAGGGGAGGGGAGATGGGCAAAAATAGGTGAAGGGGAGTGGGAGATACAGGCTAACAGGTACGGAAGGAGTAGGTCACGGGGAAGAGAGGGACAGCGGAGGAACGATCAGCGGCACTGTTAACGGTGCTGCGTGGTGACAGGCGGCAGCTACATCTGTGGTGAGCACAGCGTAACACACAGAGGTGTCCAGTCACTATGTTGTACCCCGAAACTATTGTAACGCTGTTCACTCTACTTCTATGAAAAGAAATCAAGGCCTGAAGGAAGAAAATTTCCCAGACGACAGCTTGTACTTCCGTCGCAATTTGTTTCACTTGTATCATACGTCATTAAATACTCATGTGATATTTACAAAATAGAGCTAAGAGGAAAAAACCTAAGTTCAGGGTCTTTCATTTGTTATCCTGCTTCCAATTTTCTGGATCCATTAGTGTACATACCAACTAATAATGTGATTCTAGGTAACTACAGTGGAAAGTTTATCAATTAAGTCATCAATAGTGTAAACAAGAAGCTGAATGTCCGATTTTTCCTTCATTCTGTGATCACTGTGTTTTCGGAGGATGACATCTACGTCGTTGCTGACCACTCGGTCGGCAATCTGAATGGACGTGTGCCAAGGGATGATGTCATCCTCCATGCCGTGCAGCAGTCTTACGGGGCAGTTCACAGGAATAGGGCTATGCAACAAGCAGTGGTGTTCGGCTTCTTTAATGAAACTGTACCGAACCTCGTAAACGCCTTCTTCGCTGTATTTTGATGGCATGCTCCACACGCCTTTCATCTCTATTTCCTTTTTTACCTATTGAGGAAAATAAAAGTATTTACACAACACTAACAAATGCAATAGTCTTCAACAGTCTTAAGAAAAGCAGTCCTAGGAGGAAGAGGAAAAGAGATAAAAAGGTAACAATGATAATTATCAATAATTAACCACTACATGTAAGGAACTGTGAAAGGTACTTTACACATAGTATCTCATAAGATTCTGATAATAATTGTTATTATTTCATTTTTACAAAAAAGGATATTAGAATCTAGAGAAGTTAATGTCATGTTCAAAGCTGAAAGGTAACAACTGCTGTTGGGTAGGGTTTCAATTAGATTTAGCTTCATTAGGCAACATCCTAAATCAGGTGTTACTTCACCCCAACTGAAAGGGAAAATGAAGGGGAGAAAAAGTAATTTCTTGGAATCAGTTCAGGCATCATTCATATTATACAAAACCAAACCTTATGAATAACAACTGTTTATAGATTTCAAAATCACAGACTAAAAGTATCTGTATGTGAAGTTACTAAAATGAGGATGCGGAAAGAGAAGAAAATAAACAATCAAGCCTAGAACTAAAAATGAAAAATAAGACAGTACTTACTCTGGTACAATCAAACACATACAATTTCAGGCTAAGTATTAAAAAAACAAAAACAAAAACAAAAACAAAAGAAGAAACAAGTATTGTTCTTGCCTTCCAGAGTCCTAGGGAATGAGAAAAAAATGTGTTGTTCTGGATGACAATACAGTCTTCCAGATACTTCCTGAAAACTGAGCAAGGATATCAATGCTACACTTATTTCCTTAAGATGAAACACTGCTATCTTTTGATTCTCCAAGAATTTTTATGTTTTAGACTATAATTTGTCTTAAACAATTTTTCTTTTCTTTTCTTTTTTAATGTTTCTTTATTTTAAGAGAGAGAGAGAGAGAGAGAGAGAGAGAGAACACAAGTAAGGGAAGGGCAGAGAGAGAGGGAGAGAGAGAATCCCAAGCAGGCTCTGCACTGACAACACTGGGCTCAAACTCATGAACTGTGAGATCATCACCTGAGCTGAAACCAAGAGTTGGATGGTTAACCAACTGAGCCATGCTGGTGACCCTTAAACAAATTTTCTGGTTAACGTAACATTTACTCATTGTAAAAAACATGGGAAATACAGAAATTATAAAAAGAATCAATCACACATAATCCCACCTCATCGACAGAATAACCATTACTATGCTGGCTCATTTCCTTCCAGTATTTTTTCTCTAGGTTTCTGGTTATATATATGTAATATGTACAACAGATATCTATTACACATTCACATAGAGTTTTCTACATTGCTTTACTTATTTCATACATATATTTCTGGGTTTAAAACAATTCTGTGAAAAGTTTTCAAAGACTGCATAGTAAGTAGTCCATTATGCTAGGTCTAAATTAATTAACTTCTATTTCCACACTGTTGGATACTTCCATAAACATTTTTGAGCACAAAGATTTATCTGTATATAAATAAATTATTTGGAAAGATTAACAGAACCTGAGCTAATAAATGAAGATGTAAATTAAAAAAGTTTTTTTTTTTTGAGAGAGAGAGAGCACAAATGAGAATGAGCAGGGGAGGAGCAGAGAGAGAGGGAGACACAGAATCTGAAGTAATCTTCAGGCTCTGAGCTGTCACCCACAGAGCCCAATGCAGGGCTTGAACCCAAGAGCCATGAGATCGCGACTTGGGCTGATGTCGGACATTCAGCTGAGCCACCAGGCACCCCAAGGTGTAAATATTTTTAAGGCTCTTGCAACCATACCATATTAAAGGCATTTCTGGCTAGAAAAACATCTTATCAAAAAAGGAAAAATATAAGGATAGAAAAGCCAAATATAGTATATTGAATATTTTTGTATTTAAATTTTCAATAAAGATACGGTTTTTCCATATTTAAAATTGTTAATTTACTCCAAATATGAGAAGGAACATAAGAATTTAAACAGTAAGATATGTATGATATAATCTATATGTATTTAGGCATTATAATGTATTTTTTTTTTAATTCCAAAACGATTTACTGATTTAGTGAAAAAGCGGTGTATCTGAAAGATCTACTCCTAAATGTCTTCAAATGATTTTGAAATTAAGGGAATTCTAAAAAACTATAAACTGTATGAATCTATATTAATATTAAGGCAGTCTCTGCATTAAAAGAACATGTGAACTGAATACTTAAAGCAAAAGTGATATTCAGTGATCCTCAAAGTACTCAGGATCATTCCAAATTTGTAATTTCAGTAATGAGAACGTAGTTACATTGGTCATTAGATGAAGTGGGAACCATGCTCATTACTGATAGAATTAATAATAGCTGCATTTTAAGCATCCCTGCCCCCCAACCAGCTGTTACCTGCCATTGACTTGAATGAATACTATCCATTTGAGGAACAAACTTAACTTTACAAAATGTTGTATGTAACCGACCCCTCTAAAAGTTCAGAAATAGCAAAAATATCATTAACTGAAGGACATGTACACTCTACATTAAGTTCTATGCCAACAGGAAACAACATCAAGGTGACGTGGTTGGGCAGCTTGTACTCCAAACAGCTGTGCATCTATCTGACATCCTCTAGTGCTCAAAGGACACAAGCTGTGCTGAGTGTGGACATTCCCAGAGCTGAAGGTGATAGTAAAAATCATCCCTTGCCAGCTGTTAGAGCTAGCTGCTTCTGCGAAGAAGAGACAGAGGCCCCAGTAGCCCTGTTCTTTCCTTACGTGCTTTTAAGTTAACAGGCTTCTATTCACAACCGTTTGCTCGTCTGCTTTAGGATTAGCAAAGACATGCCCTGATCTGCAGTACAGATCTCAGTCACTTAGGGGATTATCTACCATGTCCTCCCTGAGTGATGCGGATACACACACATAAAAAAATGCACAAAGATCTTACCATTTACTGTAACAACAACCCAAAATGGTTTAATCACCTTCTTCCTCATCTGCTATGTTCTTTTTTTTTTTTTTTAATTTTTATTTATTTCTAGGAGAGAGAGAGACAGCGTGAGCAGGGGAGGGTCAGAGAGAGAGGGAGTCACAGACTCTGAAACAGGCTCCAGGCTCTGAGCTGGCAGTCAGCACAGAGCCCGACGTGGGGCTCGAACCCACGAACCATGAGATCATGACCTAAGCGAAAGCTGGACGCTTAACCGACTAAGCCACTCAGGCGCCGTCATCTGCTATGTTCTTGAAATAATTTCCTACCAGGAGAAGCACCTTATAATTGAGTTAGAGGATGGAGTAAGGGCTTCAAGGTTTATATGCAGAGAGATACAATAGTAGGAGAATTTGGCAGCACAGGACATTGAGGAAGTATATATGAGAAACACCTTAACAAAGCCAAAAAAAAAAAAAAAAATTCTGAAATGGGAGATAAGTGCAAGGAAGACCAGCTTCGCTCCTTTAGCCCTCAGAGGAAATTATGTGAAGAAACTGCACATACAGATAACGACATTTCTTAAGGGGCTGAGAAGAATGTGGACGGAGAAGCTTAGAACAGATAGTACACGGCACTGGTATCAGTGCAGACCTTGAGGCAAAAGTCAACAACATTCTACTATTTGACACTACATGCCCTTTCCCTCCTCTCTTTCCTTTCCTCCTACATCTGCTCCTCCACCCCCCAGAACAGTAGTTCTCAAACTGCACTGGAGGGGCTGGTTAAAACAGATTGCTGGGCCACACTCCCAGCTTCTGATTCAGCAGGCCTTGGGTGAAGTTCAAGGACATGCATTCTTACAAGTTCTCAGGGGATGCTGATGCTGCTGGCCTACTGAAGACACTCTTCGAACCACTACTCGACTGCTTTTCTTTAATTTTCTGTGCCTCAGTCCTGCCAGGATCATAGTCCCGCAGGTGACATTTAGATTCTTAGGAAAAAGACACCCAAAGAGAACTCAACTGATGGCAGAACACCACCAAAATGCACAAAAACAAACAGCTATTACCCACTACTTCTTTATCCCTGAAGATAACTAAGTGCTTAAACATATGTCTAATTATAACATATAACAAATAAATCACTTTCATTTATTTCCATTTCAACCATGATTTGCTGAAGTGCACGGTAGTAATGAAAAGCCTATTTTTTAAGAAGGTGAGGATTAGTAGTAGAACAGTCTACTCCGTGTCTAAGCCAGGAGCGGCAAGCCTCATGGCCTGTGTGCGGACTCTGACGGACTGATGGCATGTACGGGAGAACTCTGCTGCGAGAGGCTCTGAGGCTGCTTTCAGGCTAAGAGAAAAGTTTCATGACCGGTGAGCCACGTCTAATATGGTCATAAGAATACGTACTATTTCCCATATGCCACAAAATAAGAATAAGAGAGAGATCACAATGTCTGACCCAAGTAAGTAAATGTGATTAATAATGAAAATATTGCTAAAAAAAGAAATTTAAAGTGTGATTTCATTAATGTGGCTGAAATATGCGACAGGATGATTTGAAGGGATTGTAAAGAAAAGGAAACCGTGAATAAGGCAAAGAGATGATATACAAAAAGGCAGCGACGGCAAAAGGTGAGCCAGCACAGGAAGTCAAAGGGCAGACGACATACGAACAAATACTCAAAGAAAGCAGCAGCAGAACAATGATAGGAGGTCAACACTGAGGTTGCTCGTGACCCACCTCGACAGGAAGCTGATTGAACTGTGTCACTAGGCTATCTACAGCTGCAGCTATACCAATAAGAGCAACGACTTTCTGTGGCCTTGCGATTGCAGCATGGAGCATAAGCCAGCCACCGAGGCTAGATCCAACCAGTATCTAAAAACAGAAATATGGTTTTATTTATATTTTTTAAATTTCATTTTAGTGAGAGACGGAGACAGAGGGTGTGCATGCGTGAGCAGGGGAGAGGGAGAGAGGGAGACAGAATCTTAAGCGATGCGGGGCTCAGTCCCACCACCCTGGGATCATGACCTGAGCCGAAATCAAGAGTCAAATGCTCAACTAACTGAGCCATCCAGGTGCCCCCAAAAGATATATGGTTTTAAAGAGGAATTTCTTTTTCTTTTCTGTAAGGGGATTCAGTAATTTATGTATGTACTTTTTTCTTCTATATCCATTAGCTCCCAGGCTTTTAATATTTGGCACAATGTAGAATTAAAATTAGGATTACAATGTAAAGTAAAATGCCACTTAAATTTTATGAGAAAGTGAATAGAACAATTTTAAATCAAATACCAAAATTAATTGTTAAACATTTAAACTACTAAATTTTCATCGCTAAAGACACAGCTCAAAAAAAATGAGGTTAGTCAATAATTATACTTAACACAAATAGTCACCTGTGGTCCTTCAGCTATGTCATCAATTATAGAAAGAACATCTTTTCTCCATCTTCCCACTGTGCATTCTTGTATGTTACCATCCGAATTTCCAACTCCTGAGTAATCAAACCTAGAAAAAGGGAAAAATATATCTATATCCAGATGTCTATCTATATATTTCTCTGGTTTTTAAAGAAGATAGCTCATTTATCATTATTACAATGCTTAGAATATGTTAAAATAAAACACTGAGGCCAAAATATACTTCAACAGATCCTACTGGCATAGCCTCCAAACATCGCCCATGTCTACTCACTCTCTCACCCCCGCCACTGCCAGCAGCCAGTCCACGTCACCGTCTCCTCGGACCGGGCTAGCGTTAAGTGTCCTCAGACATGTCCTTGTCTCCATTTTCTACCCCTGTAGTTCATTCCCCATGTAGTCACCAGCGATCCTTTTAAAACAAAAATCTTGTCTTGCACAAACCTGTCAAAAGCTTTCCAACATCTGTAAATAAAACATGAAGTCCTTCCTGTAACATGGCTTCCAACTACCTCTCCGATTTCATTTCTTATGGATTTCTTACCCTCTCTCCCTCCCAAATGAACCCTATTTGCTTCCTTGAAGTAAATGGAATACACCACCCAGGTTTTGCTTCAGGAGTCTGATAGCAGCTTTTCTTTCTCCACGGCATACTGTACCCCTCCAGATATCCACTTTGATTGCTCCCTTGCTTCATTCAGGCTTCTGTCTCAAATGTTACATCTCCAGAGATGCCTTCTCTGACTACTCAATGCAAAATCATGCTTCTTTCATCCTTCTCCATTTCCTTACCCTGCTTTATTTTCTTCATGGCAAACATTGCTATCAGACATACAAAAAATTTGATTATTTGTTTGTGGCCCATCTCCCACACTAGAATGGAGGCACCATATGGGCATAGGCTGTTTTGTTTACCACTGCTTTCCCAATGCCTACATCAGTACCTTGCATACGATAAGTGCTTAGTATTTACTAAGTTAATAAAAGGGAAAGAGGGAAATCAAGTTCATGATCACCAACTCACACCTTAGTTTGCTTCTCCTTCAAACTGCCTAGCTCTTCGGGCTCAAAGTCTGTTGATCTGTGCACTTTCAAGGCCTCTATTCAACAGACCATGAAATATCACACCACGCCTGCAGATTACCTTATACCACAGTCCTACTAAACTACTCCGGTCCCTGGACAGACTCTTTCATAATGCTGGGGCTTTGCCTCCTGTCTGGAAAGCCTAGAAAGCCTTCCTTCCCACCCAAACTCCTACTCGTCCCTGCAGTCATGTCATTTCCTCTGAGGAATTTGACATACACACCCTCAGTCACTTTCTTTTGTATGTACTCACTTAACACTTTTCACATTATGTTGTAATCAAGTTTTAAATATTTCTGTGACCAGAATGTCAGTTCTTCAAGAGCAAACTGTTTTACTCAAAAAATTTTCCCAGGTACCAAGCACTGCTTGCTCTGTGCCGTCTTCACTCACTCTTGTTGCTTCTCATTCACCTCTTCCTCTGCAATCTGGTAAGACCAGTATCACACTGCACATCTTTGTCATCTTTTTTTTTTTTTTTAAACTTTTTAACATTTATTTATTTTTGAGAGACAGAGTATGAGCTGAGGAGGGGCAGAGAGAGAGAATCAGAAGCAGAAGCAGGCTCCAGGCTTTGACCTGTCAGCACAGAGCCCGATGTGGGGCTCGAGCCCATGAACCATGAGATCGTGACCTTAGCTGAAGTTGGACGCTTAACTGACTGAGCCACCCAGGTGCCCCACGTCTTACGGCCTAGCACAGTAGCCTCCTGTGTCCCTGTGACTGTTCTCTCTCCAAATGGATACGTTTTATACCTGTCAAGATTTTTTTCTGAAACATTTTATTGCTATGGCATGAACTTCAGGGGTTCCCTGTAATATACATGAACATTCAGTATTTTAGCCTGTTTTGTAGACCATTATATTCTGGTCATCTCAGATTGATTATCATATCAGAGTAAACCAGTGCTTTGGACCAACTGAACAACTTGCTGTTACTAAATTGGCTCTTGCTTTGTTCCTGTTTCATGCCTCATTTTCCATCACCTAGAGTGCCCATCATCCCTGTGAGATGGTCAGATCCCGGTGGGGGAAACACCATTCTTGGTTTTGTGTGTGCATTCATCCCAGAGGTGAGGCACCTACACCTCGCACACAGAATATGATAACACGTACTAAATAAATAAAAGTGGAAGGTAAAAGTAAAAAGAAATCACTTGATTCGAATTTGAAGCGTTCAGCTTTCTCTAATTCTTAAAATCTGATGAAAACTAATAAATCCTAGTGTTTTTAGTGTGCATGTAAGAATATGTATGTGATATACAGCATACAGGCATTTTCTTAGGGATTTATGCGTCACGGAGGAAGAAGAAATTAAATTTTTCTTTGATATAAAGCGAAATGACTTTAGACCCTTGGGAAATTGTGTAACAAGGCTGCTGCTGAGATCTCAATCACAGTCATTATTTCCCTTCAATCCAGGGGATGTAGAAAACAGACCCAGGAGAAGAGGGAAGAAAGGTACCAGCAAATCCTCCTTTTCTCGCCCTTGGTGGGCAATCGGGCATCTCTACTTGCTGCATCTTTCACGGCTGCTTTCCAATTACATGATGCAGATGCAGAAAATAAGTAGAAATCCTTCAAAAAGGAAAATATAAACATGTGGTGAAACTAAAAGGTACAAGTAAAAAATATGGTTCACTCTTGCTGAACCCTAATCAAGGGACAAAGACAATTCAAACATATTCAGCTGTTGGGGCACCTGGGCAACTCAGTTGGTTAAGCAGTCAGACTTCGACTCAGGTCATGTTGTCAAGGTTCGCAGGTTCGAGCCCCATGTTGGGCTCTGTGCTGTGACAGCTCCAGAGTCTAGAGCCTAGATTCTGTCTCCCTATCTCTGCCCTCCCCCCGCTTGCACTCTGTCTCTCTAAACAAAAATCAAACATATTCAGCTATTTAGGGTGGGGGTGTGGGGTGGCTGACTTGATCTTCAGGGTCGTGAGTTCGAGCCCCACTTTGGGTGTGCAGCCTACTTAAAAACAAAAAACAAATAAACAACAACAACAACAAACCCCCCACAGGCTCTTCTCGCAGCCTCAAAACTCTGGGACATGTTCCCAATTCTAGAATTACATATTCTATGGCAAATAACTATGAGAGAACACCAGCCCTAATACCGTGTGTTATATTCCTGAGTTGTGACCCAATCTTATGTTAGGCATGGTGACAGAACATCAAAAAACCATTTTCCTATAGCCATATGAACCATTTCTTGATAATATACAAAACTAACCATTTCCTCATTCAAGAGCTAAGATTTTACAGCCAAAAACATAAAAAAGGTAAACTGAGAAATTAGAGCATAAATAAAAGATAAAATCTCTAATAACAAGCTAAAATGCAACCAACAGTTAATAGTGCTTAGGTTGCAATGAAGTTTGATGAATGCAAATAAAATGGAACCTGGTCAAATTAAAATTTTGTAGTGAAGGGCTACACTTTTATAAAGTTTATAAAGATATACCTAGGCTATGTTTTAATACAGAACCAATTAATGGTTTGTACACGTTATACCTAATCATGTTTATCTAATACACTTAAAACATATTTTTAAAAATGCATTCAAAATAAAGAAAACACACAGACCTCATGTGATATAGAGAGGCAGAAACTGGTTACAGTGCTCACAGTCTCCATTTAAATTCAAGAACTGGTAAAAGGGCAATTTCTTGATTCAAATTCTTTTGGGGATAAAAAGAATGATGGCAATTTTTCTGACAGTACCATGTTTTGATCAGGGTAGTTTCTGTTCCTGTATAGGTCTTCTTTCTTACCCCAATACTAACTTCGGTCTGCCTTTATTAAGTTTTTTTTTTTTTTTAATCCATTTCAATCCCCAGTTTTCTCTTGCCTTGCGCAATTAAGTTATGTTTGACACAGTACATTCTGTTTGAGTATTTCTGCCTAATTGCTCATGTTTTTTGTCTTGTGTTTCCCCAATCCAACCTTTAAGAACAACAGCCATGTTATAGAGTTTGTTGTATATTTTACAGCACCCAGTAATAGTGCTAGAAAGTCTACTTGGAAAAGATACTCCAGTCTTGAGAACAAGAGTTAAGTCAGAACAGATTTTTAAAAGTTCTGAATGTGAAAATGAACTCAATATGATAAAAGGAGTAACACTAAATCCATTTAATTGACATAATCTCTGCTAATATACTGAATAAAATCTAAAAGGCTTTCATTTTTTATATTTATGTATTAATTCCTAAAGTTGTATCTTCTAGACCTACGGAGTGAATGTAATGAAACTATTATTCTAACAATGTAGATGAATAGATTTTTAGGCTATTAGTGCTGGAAAGGATTCAGACATTATCTTTAGTTCATCCTCCTCCTTTATGATGAAGAAAATAGGTCCAATGTTTATCGGTTGACTCATCTCGTCACAGTTACTGTCGGAATGAATTCTAGTTCCCATGCTTTTTGAAATCCAGGCCAGTGTTCTTTCTATTAAACCATACTATCTCTTCTGGCAAAGGAGGCACTAACTAAATGATTGTTATAGGTAAACAAGCCTAATAACAACAACGTAAGCACACTATTTTACTAAAATAATTATCGGCATGAAACATTAGGAATTAACAAAATTAAATTTTGGTTAAACAACACATATCCTCTCTATGCTTCTGCATATTCAGACTACAGAGTGAGGAGAAAGAGAAAACTCCAGTGCAATCATGAATTATATAATACTAATTTCAGAATACTTTCATTCATTCATTCATTTATTTATATGGGCATGGAACACCAATGAAAATATCAGGCCAGAGAAATCAATTTAGGAGTTATAGACTATCCCTAATACCAAAGGAAAGAATGGGCTCAATATGAAGAGGATGTCAAATGGGAATTTAAAAGACTGTAAGAGACATGAAAACTATACAATATTCTCAAATATATATATTATTTTTAAATACATATTTCGAAAGCAGAGTTGTAAGGAGTGGCCAACAAAAGCCTTTAAATCCCCAATGGAAAGCCACAATACAATCACAAGATATTATAAGAAACCAACTACTATTTTTGGTTTGTTGTTATGCTAGATTATTACATCTGAAGAGTTTAGTTACCACTAGTATCTTTTCCCACCAAAACTGTCAGTGTGGCACAAAGACCATTAGAACAAGTCGTTTAAAGGCTGCATTTGCCATAGCCCTAAATCACAAGGTCAAAGTTTACAGACCATTAAAATAAGTTAATCCATAAAAACACTGGCATTTGCTTCAATTGGTCAGAGCAGAAATATGTTTCCATTGCCATGCTCAAAGGTAGTAGTATTTTTCTCTGAAATGTGTTGTTCCTACCTTATATAGGCGTGACCTAGAGATTTGCAAAACTCTTCAATCGCCAATGCTTTTGTACCATTCATATTAGAAATATAGCCAGGGATGAAGATAATTCCCGGACTTTTGCCTTTTAGCTTCTTATAAGCCAGGTTTGGAAGGTCTGGTCGACTAAGGAAAGAGACTGATGTCTTTTGTCTGCAAGCTAAACAAAGTACACAAAACATAAACTATAGTTTACAAACACTGTTTTTGGAAAAGTATATACAACTGACCCTTGAACAACATGGGGGTTGGGGTGTCGACCCCCTGTGTACTCGAAAATCCGTGTGTAACTTTTGACCTCCCCAAAACTTAACTACTAATAGCCTACTGCTCATTGGAGGCCTTACCACTAACATAGTTCGCACATATTTTGTGTGTTGTTCGTATTACACATTGTACTCTTACAATAAAGTAGGCTAGCGAAAAGAAAATGTTAAGAAAATCATAGAGAAAATATATTTAGAGTAGTGTACTGTATTTACTGAAAAACACCAATGTATAAGTGGACCCTAGTAGTTAAACCCATGTTATTCAAGGGTCAACTGTGTATTTTCAATCTTAACTTTCGTAACTTGTCAAACTGATGTCAAAACTACTTCCATTTAAGAGGAAAGACAAAAGCAGACTTGAAATACTAAAATCACAAACATATCTGTGGTTTCTTCTGAACTCGTATCAAAATCAGTGCCTCTGAACAAGGTCCAATCTTGATTCTTCCAAAATACACACTGGGGTGGAAATTTCAAGGCAAAAATAGAGACTTATATAAAAAAAAAATGTTTTCCTGTAAAAAATGCTGCTGTATCATCTGTCCCAAATAGTATGAATAATGTTTGGATTTATCTACACTAGTTTAAGCCTTCTCTTGTGAGATTTTTCTTTTTAATATTTCAGTGTTGGAGGAGTTTCACATCCTCTACTTTTTGGCAGGGAGGGGGAGAAAGGAGTTCGATCTGCCCTTGAGAAGCTGTTCCTGAGGCAGAGGTGATGGGCTCCTACAGGTAATACTGACTCCCTGGCCATCCACAAAATCATGGGCCTTGCTAATAGCCTATTGTGATTTTGTATCAGCTGAGGTGGGTTCGATGAGCCGTTACGTTTACAAGAAACCTTGAATAACTTATAATAGTACGATTTTTGGAAAAAGATTTCTCATAGGCCTCTGCAATCACTATGTTTCATTTGTCAGTTTGGCTTTCTGTGAATGGCACACAGGTCTTAGTGCAAGTTAAGTAAAAACTTGAAAAGCAAGTGGCAAACCTTGTAAGGTTACTCCATTTCATTGCTTTTCAAGTTTTTTTCCTTACCATAAAATCTGTATTTGCTCTTTAAAAAAGGTAGGAAGGTATTTTAAAAACATTAAGTCATTTATAACCCCACCTCCTCCTTCCAAAGAAATTAAGTTTGTGTGTTTCCTTACACTCTTTTTCTGGACCAAGAAAATCTCTTCTTTTATAATGAAATGAAACCTTCCTCTACTTTATTGTGGCCAAGGAAAACATCTCTGCCCCCTCCATGTGAATTGACAAAAGCTTCCTTCATTTTGGGCTGAGAAGCTGATTTTTTAAAAACTGAATTGAAGGCCTTATCGCTATCCCTGTTACATAGAAGTGTGTTTCAAAGCTTCACTGTATAGTGAAATACGCCAAATTTAAAATTTTTAGGGAAAACCAGGGCTAGTGGGGGCGTTATGTTGGCTGGTAGACTTTATCAGCAAAAATGTCAATTTCCTAGTTCCTTAGCTCAGCACTCAAATCCTTCCTATTCTCTTCTCAATATTACTTCCCCAAACAGGACTTTCTCCTCTGAAACAGTAATTTACTTCATTTTGGTGAGTTGTAAGTGGACGGGTTCTTAACATTCCATCCATGAACGATCTTTGCACTATAAGGGTTAGCTCAAAGCCTGATGCATAAATCCTCAATGATGTGCTAAACAGATGAAAGAGTATTACAATCTACTTAATGAACTGACATACTATATACTTCACTAGGGGAACTTACATATAACTAGGTTTTAGACAGTATAAAATTAATAAGTGTAAGTTAAACTGATTATATACATTTAAACATTTTAACCAAAGCAAAGGGTATCAGCAATGACAATTCCCGTCCCAAGCGCAGTGCATCTGACAGCGTGTATGGCAAAGGTGTAAAAACAACAAAACCAGAGAATGAAAAGACACAATTCAGAAAGACAGACCATATATATAAACTGAGGGTAGGGTGGAATGGAGAAGAATCAAACACAAGATGAAGAAAATATTCAGATGTTCTCATTTTTGGTCCAAATTCTAGTTTCCTTTGTAGAGTAATGATTATGGTTTTCACTGAGCGGGAGCATCGAGAAGGCAAAATGAGAAATTTGGCTTGCTCACGGCGTCCGCACTTTCACATACACACAAAGTTCATACTGTAAATTCCTAAAGTGAAGCAAGGTCAGGTCTAAACATCCTAACAGAGTCAAGATCTGTAAACCCCTCAGACCAGAAGAGAAACGAAAGAAAAAGCAGTAACCAATCGCACATCTTAATTTTTCCTAGCGTTGGCGCTTAACGCGGGGAGGCAGGCAGGGAGTGGGATCCTTAAACCGCAGAGCGTAAAACTCTAGCAAAGGCCCCCGGCGGAGGTCTTACAGCTTTCACAGAATGGCTGGAGGCGACTAAAACTAGAATACTGAGAAAGCGAGAAGAGCTTTTTTAAAACAGGGCGCCAAAGCCGCACGAGACAGGAACGGACTGAACTCCCAAGTTCGAAAGAACGCGTACTTCTCCGGGCTTTGGGACACTGACCTGGGACCCACCGTGCTGTCCCCTCCGACTTCCTTGCAAGGAATGCGCTGAGGCCACGGTGGAAGCCTAAGAAGACGCCCACTCTGCCCCACCTCCCACGAGGTATCCAAGCGCCCAGGGCCGCCATGCCCACCCCCGCCATCTTCCCAGAGGCCCCCGACGACCGTGCTGACCCACAGAGCAGGTCCGAGCGCACAGTAACCAGAGGTACGCATGCGCCGCCGGCCGGAAGCCGGGACTTGCTAAAGCGTTTTAACTGAGGGCGCGCATGCGCGGAGTGTTGTCGCTGGGACGAGCCTCTCGCCGTTGGACAGTGGGCTCCTAAGGGAGTTTTTGCTTGGAATGTTTTGAGGAGCGTCAGTAGGCGACTTTCCCAATGGATAGATAGCTGTTCCAGGGCTGAATGCGCGTTGAGAAGGCGTACCCAACGTTCCTAAATAGGAAACCGTCTCCTCCTCCCGAGGACACTAGGGAGCGGAAGCTTAAGCTGCAAGGCTGCTTCCAGGACAAATCGCCTTCCCGCCCCGACAGATTTAAACCGAGCCGGAAATGCTGCCTAAAGCTCACCTTAATCTCGCTTGTGTAAATACCCGGCGCGGACGCGTTCGTCGCCCATCGCCACTTTCCAATTCGTTTTTATTCTCTTATTAGGCCTGACCATTGAATTATTGAATTATTCTGTCCCCTGCCTCCTGTTACGTGCAAAAATAAATCCCAGAAGATAAATCCTCAAAACGGAAGAATAAAAACAAAGGATTTAAATACACTTTAGGGCAGTATTTTGTAGTTTGGGGGATAGAAGGGACTTTGATAAGCAAGAGATGAAACCCCGAAATAAAGAAGAAAATGTTGGTATGTGAACTTCAACTTTTTTCACGGTAAAAGGCATCTTGAGTCAAATGAGAGTCTAGAAAAACTGACTTTATGGTACAGATAACAGGACCTTAATACTTCTATTCAACCTGCTCCTAATAATAAGGCAAAAAAAAAAAAATCCTGTGGTTTCAATAGGATTATCCAACGGCTGTGAATAGGCAGTTCATATAGAAAGGATGTTCAACTTCACTAATTGAAAAATGTGAATTAAAAAAAAATAGCATGTTATTTCTCTCACCTGTCAGATTGGGAAAAATTAAAAGTGCAACTATTGGCAAGGATGATGCGACATTGGCACTCCTGTATGGTTGGTAGGAGGGCTGATTGCTAAACTCTTCTGTCTAGTAATTTGTGCACAATTTTAAAATATGCATCATTTTCAATGTCCTTAACCTAGTGGCCCCAGTCTGTGAGACTTCTGTAAAAAACAGTTTCATTCGTAAGGCTGCATAATATATGCAACGGCACCATTTTTATAATTTTTTTTTAAAGTAGGCTCTGTGCTGAGTGTGAAGCCCAAGGCAAGGCTTGAACTCAAAACCCTGAGATCAAGACTTCAGCTGAGATCAAGAGTCAGTGGCTTAACCTGTGGGTTAATGACTGAGCCACCCAGGTGCTCCTACAGCACTATTTTTATAAGCATGCAGAAGAAATAAATGGAAGTCAATAATTGAAAACTGGTTGAATAAATTATATAAGGATTTCTGAATTCTGGCTCTGACATCCTTCAAATTAATTCTAGGCGCCCCAAGCATCAACAAGTAAGATCTTTTCCAGTTTTGTTTTGTTTTTTTTCTACTTAAGGTTACTGTGGCTGCTATAAAATACTTAAGTAAAGCCACTTGACTATGTTGTTCGTACATTTTGGAGCAATGATTGGTGCTGGAGTTAAAGGCAAATGGTGGATACAGTGAATCCAGCCTATCTTTGGAGTCTTGAGAACCTGTTAGAAAGTACTGAAAAAGTTGGATAAATAAAAACTGAATAGATCTTTTCTGGGTGGTAGAGTGCCGGAAACAGAGAGCAAGGACAGCTGCTCCTTTTCAGGATGCACTCCAAAAGTTGTTGAGCTATTTTACCAGTTCTCCATTGGCCTGTTGTAGACTCCAAAGAAACTAAATCACTAAGGTGATGGACAATGTGCGTCACTTTGCCATCCTTTAAATCTTAACAATAAACATTTCTCACTATGGGTTTTGGACAATTGCAAATATTCTCAATCGTTTCTGTCCCTGTTCTCTCCATTATTTTTGTAGATCTTGCATCTTATGTTCAGCAAAATGAAAACAATCTGACTTGTCTCCACAGTGGGAAAATCACTGCACAAAAGAGTAGGGAAACCCATGGATTGTTTTCTCTATACACCCTTATCAATATAACAAATCAGGAAAAACTGTGGCCAGTGTCACATAAAGATGCTTTTACCTACAGTGAGGGTGTGAAGTAGACCGATTGTTTGCATACTCACTGTCAATGTTGCCTTGATTATCAGGAGTGAAAGGATATATTGTTCAGGGTCATTTCTCTCTCTGAAATCTGTTCCCTTAGTCCAGGGAGACAAATGAGGTCGCTGTCAAGTAAAGTCCTTTACTTCACACCTGGATGATTTCCCCCCTGTCAGATAAGTAAACACAGCCTCTGCAATCCCCAGTAATAATTCCATCTTTGCAAAATGACAGATGTCACATTTGCCAGGGGTCATCTCACATTAGCAAAGGGAATGTGACCAGAAATACTTAGAATTCCTTCAGTTTAAAGAACTATAGATCATAATGTTAACACACAACCACCTTTATGGAGATGCACAATTGACTTTTGCTGATTAATCCATCTCCTGTCATGTCACCAATAGGTAACCTCCTAATGAGAGATGAGTTTATTTTCAACTGTGAAATCTGGTCAACATTTTAATCCATACTCAACATATTTTAACACACATTTAAAAAGGTTTACTACATCATGCACAATATAATGTTGATTAGGATATCTTTATAATCGATGAAAGTACAGTACAGAAAAGTTGTATCTTACATTAACCAACAAAATTTTAGCAATTGCATTTCACTCTCTTAGATCATTACAAGGGTTTAGGGGTAATCTCTGAAAAAACAGATTATAAAAAGTCTTATGCAATAGTGACTTTGTCCTCCACTGTTCAAGTAAAATCATGCGTCATCCAGTTGCAAAATCTTATTGACAAAATCGGATTGGCAACATGTATACATGTATGCAAACCACACTGCAAAAATTTTTAAACACTGTACCCCATTAGGCCAGACCAAGATGTTATGGACACTTCCAATCTAGTCATTTCACCTTGTACTAGTCAGCAAAGCTATTATTCTCTACTTCTATTCATTTGCAAACTTCTAGGAAAGAATACATCCATACTCACAAATACACACAACATGACAAACCAGGATAAATGGCATTTGAAAAACTGTTATAAAAGAGACTTGCCTGAAGTCATTTCATTCAACAAAAATTAATTTAATTCTAAAGAAACTAAAGCTAATTGTAAAGAAATACATAATAAAATCGTACATTACAGACAACATTAAGGTGGAGTTTATTTTCCTTTCTATAGAACTATGCTATTTCTTTTTTTTTAATTTATTTTATTTTATTTTTAATGTCTTTTTTTTTTATTATTTATTTCTAAGAGACAGGGAGAGAGACCGCGTGAGCAGGGGAGGGTCAGAGAGAGAGGGAGATACAGACTCTGAAACAGGCTCCAGGCTCTGAGCTGGCAGTCAGCACAGAGCCCGACGCGGGGCTCGAACCCACGAACCGTGAGATCATGACCTAAGCGAAAGTCGGACGCTTAACCGACTAAGCCACCCAGGCGCCCCAGAACTATGCTATTTCTGTAAGTAAGTATTTTCATTGGTCTGTTCTTTGGTGAAAAGAGAGCTGATCTCATCGTTATGTTATGTGAGGCTGCAGTTAACAGGTGTGTTCCACAATAAAGAGGAAACAGACAATCTAAAGGAAATTGGCTACCGGTTACCTTTATTATCAGCACCGGGAAGGGAGAAATCATTAGCAAAACATGATATCTTCTCTTTATTTTAAATTGCTCAAAGTGACAGGATGTCTGTCTAATAGGACTGCTTCTGTCTGAGACACAGAACTGTTTGTTTTTTCTTTTACAAAAAGTGATTTGCTCTATGTGTACAGTCGCTTATGCCAGTGGTAACTTTCCAGAGACAACTTCCTGGGCAATTGATGGCATCGAAGTCCCATTTCAAAATGGAGAGTAACACTAAATGCAGTTTGTCACTTGAAACTACCACTATTGAACAGAAGTCATATCAAGTCTTTGGTTTACGTGCAGTACTTAATAATTAGGGCAAAACTCCTAAAATGTATTCCCCTCCAACCCCTTATTTGATTCTACTTATAAAATAACCTTCAGCAAAATGCTTTCTAAAACGCCAGTCAATAACGAATAACGTCAATGCCAATAATGTGGGCGTTAAAATAATTTCATATTTCCAAGTACATACATTTTGTAAACTGTTCAGTTTATTTCACCAAAGTAAACAACTGATAAAAAATAGTTTATAAGAAATGTTCCTCTAAGGGATGCTGTTTACCAAAATAGTGTTTTCTTTTTCATAGGTGCTTCAATCCTTTTGCTATTTATCATCAAGCTTTGCATTAAAAATCCCTTTTTCTCTTTTATAAATGATTTCCTGTTAATGTGAAAGGAGTTCTGAGTACACACAGTTAAAGGGATGGGCCTGTTGGCTCTTTCCATCTGGGATTGAATATGGCTTCATTCTTGTAAGAGACGATTGCAGTCTGCCCTGAAGTAGACTGTTGCGCCCAGTTCACTACAACAAGAAGTGGGTGTAACCCTCTGCCCCAGTAACTATAACATCCATCCAGATCCTCATGGCTTCCGGCGATGGCGCAACCATGTAGTAGATTCTGTCGTGCGTCTTGACACTAAAGGTGAGTAATGGATTAGGACTCTAAAAATCAAAAAAAGCAAAAGAATGTAAAGCAAACATCCTGAAATTATAACATTAAATAACCCAGACATATATGAGTGCTTTCTCCTCTTCGAAAGTTCTCCAATTTATAGAAATCTAAACTGGTATTACTTTTGCTCTACTACAACCTGTACCCCCACTTCCAGGATCTTTCTCAAGACTGACTGTCCTTCTGGCCTTACTGCACAACCAGTCTCACACGGAGAGGTCACCAATTAATCCTCTTGGCAGCTACTTCATAGATAAAGCTCCAGCCCGGTACCTAGATAATGTACATAATAGGTAACAACTGTTATTCTTAGTCCTACTAAGATCCTTCCTTATAGTCACTTAGCAGGTCTCCTAAACTGATTATGTCCAGAATATTGTCTCACTTCACCATGACTTTTTCTTCCATAAAAGATCAGCTCTACTACTTGTATGTTCTCTTTTCTAGAATGATTCTGCTTATATGAATCTGTTACGTCAGAGCAACAAATCTAAATTGCTTGCAGTTCAAAAAACGTTTTTCCAACTTAATTAGGCACTTACATCTGAAAATCAGTGTTTACCTTATTAGCATTCTTGAGGTGATCATAATACACTTCTTCAATGGCTTGGAAGTATATCACTCCTTTTAATTTAGCTTCATGCTTGTCTGCAATAATAGTTAAATACTTTATCACTGATGATGGACTGGGAAGATTATAATTTCAGTGTAATTATTACAATATTTATCTAGTATTTACATGACCTGAGATTAATTCAGATAATTTAGGTGAAGGTATTAGCCCAGTTCTATATTGAAAAAACAAATAAACAAAAGGAATAATCAGCCCAAACCTCAGGGACTAATTGACTTTGCCCAAAGCTCTCTAGCAAATTTGCAGTCAAAAAGACAGCCCAGAACTACTGACTGTCAGGTTACCAAACAAAATATAAACACTGCTAATACCAATATTGATTGTTTCCCCATGTTCTTCAAAACTGGTTGTAATGGAAATGTTAGTATGTAGAGCTATTGTTAATGAGATTTGTAAGGAAGTCTTTGTCTTTTAAAGAAGGGTGTTTTCCCTCCTACACTGTTGGTGGGAATGTAAACTGGTACAGCCCCTCTGGAAAACAGTGTGGAGGTTCCTCAGGAAACTAACAGTAGAACTCCCCTATGACCCAGCAATAGCACTGCTAGGAATTTACCCAAGGGATACAGAAATGCTGAGGCATAGGAGCACATGGACCCCAATGTTCATAGCAGCACTCTCCACAATAGCTAAAACATGGAAAGAGCCTAAGTGTCCATCAACAGATGAATGGATCAAGAAGATGTGGTTTATCTATACCATGGAATACTACATGGCAATGAGAAACAATGAAATCTGGCCATGTGTAGCAACATGGATGGACCTTGAGGGTGTTATGCTGAGCGAAATAAGTCAGGCAGAGAAGGACAAATATCATATGTCTGCACGTATAGGAGGATTAAGAGGAACTTAACTGAGGAACAAGGGGGAGAAGAAGGGGGGAAATGGTGGGGGAAAGGGAGAGAGGCAAACCATGAGAGACTCTTGAATGCTGACAAAAACTGAGGACTGATGGATGTGGGGGGGAGGGGGGAGGGGCATGGAGGAGGGCACTTGTGGGGATGAGCACTGAGTGTTATGTGGAAACTAATTTGACAATAAACTATTTGTAAAAAAAAATAAAAAACATAAAGAAGGGTGTTTTTTTGGACATAATGTAAAAGAATATTCTGCTTATATTTCTACTTATTAATATTCTACTTATATTTCTATGAATTTCTCGTCCAGTTTGCCCTTTCCCCTGTTCCCAGTAGAGCTTCACGTCAATAATTTAATGCTGTCTCAATGCAGCATGTTCTAAACTGTTTCCAAGATTTCATCAAATTTGCCATAAAAGACAAACAAAAACATAAAACTAAACAAAAACAACCAAATCACCAAACAATGGCAGCACTCTACGATCTAATAAGTTCTTGAAATATTTTGTAATTTAAACAGAGCAGATCATAAGTATATGTGAGCATACTGAAGAGTTTTAAAAGGATGGATGAAGCTGCAAAAGAGAGACTCTGTATGGTACCCTGTTGGTGGAAGTGCAAATAAGAAAGCTCCCTTTGGAAGGCAGTTGGGGAAAATAAACCAATTAAAAATGCAAAAAATCCTCGTCCTAAAACTTTCCACTCCTAAAACTTTATCGTAAAGAGCTACTCATGTGCATGCGCACGGATTTGTGTTCGTTATAGCGGAAGGCAGCATCAAAGCTGCCTGAACTCTAACAGCAGACTGATCCAATTATGGACGGCTCATGTAATGGAATCCTCACGGCCACTGGAGATGGATCTGCATGTGCTCATCAGAGAAAGATCTTGAAATACTGTTATGTGACAAAAGTTATGAACAGAGTGAATAATTTGGTCTCAAGTGTACATTTTTAAGTTTATTTATTTCTTGAGATAGACAAACAAAGAGGGAGACAGAGAAGATCCCAAGCAGGCACCATGCTGTCAGCACAGAGAACGATGTGGGGCTTGAACCCATGAACTCTAACATCATGACCTGAGCCAAAATCAAGAGTCAGATGCTTATATATAAACATATATGTATATATACTGGTATTCTTTCTTCTTTCACCCCAGTTAATATATACTGGTATATATTCTTTCACTGAATATATACCAGTATAAATATATATTCAGTATATATACTGAAACACATATACACATATATAGATATATGTACATATTCATATCCATATATACATGTACATTTTCATTATATATATGAATAAAGAAAATCTGAAAACGTATTTCAGACTTAACACGAGGAAAAGTTCAGAACTTTTGTGAACTTTCATTATATAGACTTTTTAAAAAAGCTTATTTATTTTTATTTTGAGAGAAGGAGAGAGAAAGAGAGAGAGAACCCTCTTTGAGAGAAGGAGAGAGGAGGCAGAATCCCAAGCAGGCTTTGTATCATCAGTGCAGAGCACCACATTTTTGTTCTACTTTTCAGTTTTTGACCCATGAATGTCCCTTTTTTCCCCAACAACAACAATGAAAAGCTAGTCTGAAAAACAACAGGCCTGAGGTTCAGTGGAAAAGTGTAAAGCTACTAAATTACACTTAACTCAGCATTTCCCTAACTTATTTGATCATGTTTGACCATGGACCATATTTGTGTGTTTTGGTTTTTTGTATTTGTTTGTTTTACTCTTCTTTGGGAAGCACCATTTTAATTACTGCCACATTCAGTGGTTTCAATCAGTTTCCGTGAAAGAGAAAGATTCTGTGTAATCTCTCAAATATTCGCTGGGGAGGATACTGCAGGATTAATGGGAATATATACAATAATACTTTATTTTCTGAAAGCAGATAGAAAATAAAATCTGGAGCTAAAAGTAAATCCTATCAGTGTTTCAAGGAGGGAGAAAACTGGGGAACAAACCTTTTGTTTGTAGAGCACTTCATATCTGAGAAAGAACTCTCAAAAATGCAGGCCTCACAAGGACATTGTGAACTAAAAGAATCAATAATGCTATTGCAAATTGACCCACTAAAGCTATTCATTCCTTTCGGTAGCATTAGCCCATCAATTCTCAGATGTATTTTCTGTGTCTCAGTTTTCTTTAGAGACTCTTCTAAGGTTACCCAGTTAATATGTAGGAGGCCAAGCATGGAGGCCAGGGGCACGATCAGCACGGAGACTTATGACTCTAGCTGTCAGCACTCATGTGTACAGCTCCTTCACACCCATGGTGCCCGTTTACCTCATGACAAGCTGAAGGGGAGGTGTGGCCCCTGTGGGGTCAAGTCCGGGCCCTGAACTGCAATCTGCATCACTTCCTGTGGACTGATCTATTGTTGCACTTGGTGATGTTTGGGGAAAGAGTAGGGGTGGAGGTCAGGGGAGCGGATAAGCAAATGATGGCTGTAAACAGAGCCAAATGGACAGTGTCTGTCAAACTAGGACTCCCTAGTCAGTTATATAACATGTAAATATTAAAAAGCTGAATGAAGGGCGGCTGGGTGGCTCGGTTGGTTAAGCATCTGACTTCAGCTCAGGTCATGATCTCGCAGTCCTTGAGTTTGAGCCCCATGTTGGGCTATGTACTGACAGCTCAGAGCCTGGAGCCTGCTTTGGATTCTGTGTCTCCCTCTCTTTCTGCCCCTCTCCTGCTGGCACTTTATCTCCCTCTCTCAAAAAATAAACATTAAAAAAAAATTTTTTTTTAAATAAAAAGCTGAACGAAACATAATTTTTGCCTGTTTTATATGTTATAGTTCTGAGTAATTGTTCACATATAAAAAAGGTTTGGATCCTTAAAAAAAAATAAAGAAAGAAAATCGATCAACAAGAAGTTTACATTTGGAAAAATGCATTTATGTGGTTATTAGGAGCTCAGGTTTTGACATGGATCAGAAGGAAGGGGCACTGAGCAGCTGACCTGCCTGACAGAGGACAGAACGAAATAAGGCTCTTGGAGAGAGAAGCAGAGAAGAAAAGTGAAGCTGTTTTGTCTGAAGTTAATTAAAATTTTATTTTTGGAAAATTCTGGGTGAGGTTGTTGTCTTTGGAGACTGGTCCAAGGGCAAAGTTTTGTTTATGGATTTTGTAGACACTAAATTGGCATTGCTCATTAAACTGTCATCTTTTCTATTATACTCACTGAAGGGAACATCTCTGGATTTTCTTAGAACCCAAGATCAGAAAGCCCAAGAGAGGCAAGCAGGGAAATGGGGGTGGGGGTGGGTTAGGCCATCCACTTGGGGGGCCACTAGAGCATTAACTGCAGCCCCACCAAAGAGCTCCTAACAGAAAGGTACATGCCCCTGGGTCCTCCTCACCCCAGTTCCGGAGCCCCACAGCCAGGGTTTCTTTTGTTTCCACGTGTTTCTTGGTTTCTCACACTTCTCTTCCTAAACACATCCTGACCTCAAACTAAATAGATTAAATGACTAGGCTGTTATTTCTTACTATGTTAATTTAACAATTTTTGACGATGCACATTAATGCTGATACAGTCACCATGAAGCAGGGTCTCTTTATGAACTCTTGCAAGATACGACTAGTTGCTAAAGAGAGCAGAACTACATCTGTGCTGGCAATGGATGTGTTTCATGTCACCCAGGAGTAAATAAGAGACTTCTTTTTCTTTCTTTTTTTTTTTTCTTAGAGAGAGGGGTGGGGGGAGAGGTAGAGAGAGAGAGCCAAAACAGGCTCCACGTTCAGCTCAGAGTCAACTCAGGGCTCTTGATCTCACAACCTTGAGATCATGACCTGAGCTGAAATCAAGAGTTGGACGCTTAATGGACTGAGCCACCCAGGCGCCCCGAGGCTTCTTAATAAGTATAGCAGTTACATAAATATTCCTGTATTTTTTGAAGACTCACGTGGGTATGTTTCTCACAATCCATCATTTACAAAATCTAAAATATTTCAGTCAATAAATAGTTGTTCACTTATTCACTGAGGAGCTTTACCCTCTGCTTCAATAACATTCTAATTGATAAACTCTAGAATGTCTGTGAGCTAAAGCTGCCTAATTGTGTGTGACTTAAGTAGGGCATATGACCATAAATAAATAAACAGAAACGCTTTTTCTGGCTTCGTGGTTTAAAAGTCAATACTTTGGTCTAAAAGGATAAGTTCCATTTAATATTTATTTGGATTTCAGGTTATTTCAGCACTAGAACAGACTAATTCACACTTTTTAAATAATATATAATTTTTATTATTTCTAGAGAGGAAATCATAGATATCATGGGGACTAGACAACGTTAATAGAAGATAATATATACCTACAAAGCTAATATTACCCTTAATTCCATGAGTTGCCAATCAACCTATTTATACTGACTTTTATCACCTTTGCACTTTAACAGAGAGTTCCTGATTTGAATCTGTCACTTCACCACTCACCTGCATAATAAGAGAATGTACGCTTGTTCCGATCAAACACAAACCATCGTTTTTTCCAAGTTTTAATTTTTCCACCCATTTTGATAAGGAACCCTCGGCAGGTCTTCTCTGTGATTGATACATGATAACAGGTATCGATATTGTGGCCGGCAGTCTCTACGTGGCTTCGCAAATCAAAGTCTTCCTTCCGGACAGGCAGATAGCGTGTTAAAGGTCGGGCCTGGAAAAGCACAAAACTGGGTCATATATAGCCAAGTATTTATTTCGTTTAAGGTCACAGTTGTTTAGGAGTGGACATGAACTGGAAAGCCTAAGCATTAAGGTGTTCATGTGATTATGAGGACTTCAGATAAATGTTTTTCTTTGGAGTTTAAAAAATGCATAGTATTTCAAGAAGGCTGCTACAATATACAGGGGAAGGGGGAATGGATACACTCAGGTGAATAGGTTCTACTCCTTGAGACGGGCAGATGAGAAAATGGACGATGTCATTAACCTCAGCTTTCCAAGAGGTACATAGCACGTCAGAACGCAGGGAAATGAGGCATGACATTCCATGGGCTTCTCCCTATCACAACTTATCATTCATTCTTAAATAATCTCAGAGAAGACGTGACTAGTGAACGTTATTTAGCAAGTACACCGCCCCCCAACCAGCCCTGTGAGACCCCCTAAAGCTATACCCATTGGCTTACACACACTTTCTGATAGAAATTGAAGGCAGAGATTTATGTTTTGAGAAGTGATGCTAAAATAAGGTGAGAAGTGGAATCAAAGCTGTACTCAATGAGTTGTCCAATGAGCAGATATGGAAAAGATGTACGTGGATGTCTTTTATTTAATATGGCTGGAGTAGAGAGGTTCATTTAATTTAAGAAGCACGTATCACCATGAGGTATATTTCTAAAATGGTGTTTGCCTTTAATCTGTTAATAACCCCACCCCTCTGCCCTGGGGAAAATAACCTAAATATATACCCGGAGGCAAACCTGATAATTAGGATTAAAATAGAGAACTGTACTTTTTGGATTGGCTTCGAATGCGAAACAGCCATGGATAACCTTCACTGCGAATCCTAATTTGGCAAAGCATTGGCATAATGAAATAAAATGGACGTGTTTTACTTTGTATTTTTCCTTCAGTATTTTGCCTTCGAGTCTGTAGCACTTTGTCTATAAACGGATGTCAGAGACTTGCTGATACCTCAAAGCACACAGATTCTCACTGCCAAACTGCCAGCTACTATAGAGTAAGGGGAATGGCACTTTTTATGAAGTCTAGTAAACCCTGATAAAACGGATTTGAACTTTAAATAACTGGCGCTTCACAAAATTTTACTTTAGCTTCTCAGCCGACATACATCATATAAGCGGCTTTTTATTTGCAGAGACTCAAACCGTATGATAAGCGAGATAGGAAGTGAAAGGAAATGGGTGGTCTTCCTGAGTTTTGCTGGCGTTCAGGAACCTTGCACACACGCGCGGATAGCTGTAGCCAAGGGGATATGGGTGACAATACAGTGGTTAGGGAAAAACAAAACTACCAAGAAATTGGGTTGGCAAAATGATTTTGTTCTGGAGTATTTGCTTTCAAAAATGGCTTCATGGGGCGCCTGGGTGGCTCAGTCGGTTAAGCGTCCGACTTCGGCTCAGGTCATGATCTCACGGTTCGTGGGTTCGAGCCCCGCATCGGGTTCTGTGCTGACAGCTCAGAGCCTGGAGCCTGTTTCAGATTCTGTGTCTCCCTCTCTCTCTGTCCCTCCCCCACTCGTGCTCTCTCTCTGTCTCAAAAATAAATAAAAAACAAAAAAAAGTTTTTAAACAAAAATGGCTTCATAGAAGCTTTTCTCTTCCTTGACCAAAGGTTTTAGACTGAGTGTTGTAGTTGTTTTCAGTAGGAAATCTGGCCCATTTTTCAAAGCTGCTCAGAAAAACATGCTCCTTTTAAATATACCCCCAAAAACAGGCAGAAGAAAAACTGCCTCTCTCATCGAATTGTTGTTCTATGCGTGACTAGAGGAAAGTGTCATTTGGGTAGTAGGTCTCAATGGGTTTTCTTAAAATGGTTATTTATTTTTCAGAGAAAGCATACATGAGAGAGAGAGAGAGAGAGAGAGAGAGAAAGAGAAAGAGAGGGGAGGGGCAGAGAGAGAGACAGAGGATCCAAAGCAGGCTCTGAGAGCCCAACGTGGGGCTCAAATTCTCTAACCATGAGATCATAACCTGAGCCGAAATGGGACACTTAACCGACCCAGCCACCCAGGCGCCCCTCAGTGAGTTTTGAGATAAACATACATTTGTTTGTTTCTCTCCCAGCAGTTACATGTCAAGCAAGGGCTGGCGGTGCCAAGAAAGCCAGCCTGACACAGCAAGACCGTCTTCTACAAAATGACCAGCAGGGGGCAACCTATTCTAATCCATCCAGATGGACCGTCGTACCTGTGCCCTTTGTTTCTCCCTTATTTTTACTTCCTTTTCAATTAACTTCTGCCGCTGGCTAGTTTCTTCCTGCAATCGTTTTTCCAGGAGTTCTCGGCGTCGTTTTTCTTCTTCCAGAGCTCGTTTCTTGGCTTCCATTTCCCGTTCCTAAATATCATTATTCGGAACAAATTTGAAGATATACTGGTTATACTTGGATGACTCCAACTAATGGAAAAGAAAATTCTCCCTAGACAATTGTTGGTTTTATAGCCTGGGCTCTTGCAATATATCACCTAGACAAGAATCACCCTGCACATAGTTTTTGAAATCACCCCACGCAGAAAGGCAACCATGACATTTAATTAACAATCATTAAGTGAAAATCCAGGTGTGGTACTCAGTCATTTCACACTGGTGACCCCAACCCTTGCATTTTTAATAGAAGGAAGACAAACTGTCACCCAACAACTAGTAATGACGCTTAGCCCTCCTTTCAGGGGCCATCTTCTAACCGAAGGCCATCGGTCCCTCTGGTTTCTTTGTAGCTCTGTGCCTTCCTGGCTGGAGGTCACAGAGGAAGCCCACTAGGAAGTCAGAAGAGGAAAGGAGGGGCCCTTTAAGGCAGGATGCAAAGGCATTTGGGGGGATACCTAAGGATGTTCAGATTCTGGCTTGAAATACAGTCACAGTAACGTGGGATTTGAAATATTACAATAGCACAGTTCACACAAGCTGGCAAGGAAGAGTGAAAACATAAAGACATGACATTCGTCCTTGTTCCTTGGCAGGCAAACACGGTGGCCATCAAAGGGAAAATACAATACAAAGCATTCATTTCAGTCTACGTTGACACTATACATATTTTAAATTACAAAACATTATAGTGCCGTAAGGAGGCTTAGAAGTCCTAACACCCGTACTTTTCAGATAACAACAATGAGGCCAAAAAGGCTGAGTGATGACTCCAAGGTTATATCGGTTAATAAGGCCCAAGGACAGTTTCCTGTCCAGTGCAGGACAGCTTGAATCATGACCTCACTGACCTCGGGCGTAAAGATACTATACCGACCCTGGATTCAAGCAGCCGCGTCTTCTCTGCATGAGCCTGCTTCAAAAGTCTCTCCATTTCTTCTATCCTGGCAATATTTGAAGTGCTGGCACTGAAGAGAACACAATAGAACACAAAACATCCTTTCAAGAATATTGTTTGAGAGTGATGTCTCTTTAAGTACACATGCATACGTGCACGCGTGCGGCGCACACACACACACACACATACACACACACACACACACACACACGCATGCGGCTTCTGGAATGGTGTGCGATGCAATCCAATGTCATTTAAAGGATGTTACTTAGGAGAGTCGTTGGCCTGAAAAGGTAACTCATTCGGGTCTGAGAATTGTAGGTGACATTGGCTTATCTCAGTTTAGGAGACAAAATGTAGGCAAGGAAAATAATACCAAAGTAGAGTGCTTTACTCATAAATAAATAAACCAAACTAAATCCTACAAAGTGCTTTCTCAAAATGCTCTTTCCAAGGTCTAAAAATTATGGACTGTGGGAGGCCTTCTTTTTAGTTTAACTGCTCAGAGACGCACACTAATAAGACTATCACCAAAGTTCTATGTAGACGACACCTAAGGTTTGAAGACACTTTATTTGGTTTGGACATATGTGTCCCCAGCTGCTTTTTTGCTGTGCCTCTATGTACATGGACATTTTGATCCCTGAGTCATGAGTTTGAGTCCCACGTCAGGTGTAGAGATTACTGAAAAAAATATATACACATGGACATTTTATTTCTCCTTTTTTAATGTTTATTTATTTTTGAGAGAGAGAGGGTGAGAGAGTGAGCGGGAGAGGGGCAGAGAGAGGGAGGCAGAGAATTCAAAGTGGGCTCTGCACCAACAGCAGGGAGCCTGATGTGGGGCTGGAACTCACAAACTGTGAGATCATGACCTGAGCCGAAATCAGATGCTTAACTGACTGAGACACCCAGGCTCCCGACATTTTATTTATTATATGACAATGCTAATTACAAAAAGACTTCTGTCATAGGTGCAAAGAAGAGTGGTGGGTGGCTAGTTTTGTTGGTAATACCCAATAGTCATCCACCACACCAACGAGGAAACTCTTTGAAGAGATGCAAGAGCTTCAAAAGAAATGCATCCTAAGAAAGACATCATGCAAACAAGTGAAGGCAAAAACTAACAGGTGTTAACGCTGCAAGAACAGTTAGGGTAAGTAACTAAAAGAGAAAGAGAAGAACTTGGAAATGTTTAACACTAACCAAAAATGTTATTTTTTTCTCTTATTTACATTTTATTTGAATGTTCTGGAAATGAGGGCATGACCTAGGTCAAAACGTATTTACTCTGATATTCCAGCCATAGAGAACCAATGTTATTTCCTATGCATGTATACTTGTATAAGCCATCATATATATTTCTTCTTTTTTAGACTCTCTTGAGGACAGAGAAGCTTTGGTGCCTTTATCTTCCATAGCATAGAGACTGGCACATAGTAGGGATTCAGGTCAGATGCATTTATATAAAAATAAAATTCATATAAAAATAAGGGGAGCCTGTGTGGCTCAGTCAGTAGAGGATCTGCCTTCAGCTCACGTCATGATCTTTTGGTTCATGAGTTAGAGCCCTGCATCGGGCTCTGTGCTAACAGCTCAGAGCCTGGAGTCTGCTTCGGATTCTGTCTCCCTCTCTCTCTGCCCTTCCCTGCTCTCTCTCTCACTCTCTCTCTCTCAAAACTGAAGAAATATTAAAAAATTAAATTCATATGAAAATGAAAAGGATAATCTAGGTATTTTCAAGCAAATAGAGATAAACGACCACAGTAACATAGTACATATAGTTTATCTTGGAGTCAGTAATAGCAGCTGTATGGCAGCTTATTCATAATTGCCAAAATTGTAAGCAACCACGATATCCTTTAGTAGGTAAATGAATAAATAAACGGTAGCACTTTCAGAAAATGGAATATTATTCAGCACTAAAAAGAAATGAGCTATCAAGTCATGAAAAGACATGGAGGAACCTTAAATGCATATTACTCCGTGAAAGAAGCCAATCTGAAAAGGCTACACGCTGTATGACTCCAACTATATGATATTCTGGAAAAGGCAAAACCATGGAGACAGGAAAAAGATGAGTGGTGGCCAGTGGTTTGAAGTGGCGGGTGAAGGGAAGGATGAATATATCGAGCACAGAGGATTTTTAGGGCAATGAAAGCCCCTGTATGACACTATAATGATGTATATACGGCATTATACATTTGTCCAAATCCATAGAAAGCACAGCATCAAAAGTGAACCCTGTTGTAAACTGTGGACTTTGGGTGATAATCATGTGTCAACATAGGTTCATTAAAATATTTTTTTAATGTTTATTTATTTTTGATAGAGAAAGAGACACAGAGTGCAAGCAGGGGAGGGGTAGAGAGAGAGAGAGACATAGAATCCAAAACAGGCTCCAGGCTCTGAGCTGTCAGCACAGAGCCCGACACGGGGCTCAACCTGCAAACTGTGAGATCATGACCTGAGCAGAAGTCAGATGCCCAACCGACTGAGCCACCCAGGCGCCCCTCCACATAGGTTCACCAGCTTTAACAACTGTACCAGCCCGATGGGGAATGTTGATAATGGGGGAGGCTATGTATGTGCAGGGGCAGGGGGTACATGGGAAATCTCTAGAACTTCCTCTCAGTTTTGCCGTGAACCAAAAACTGCTCTAAAAAATTATCTTTTAGAAAAAAAGTCATCAGTATTTCCAGCCCTATTACAAAATGACTTTATCCAGGAAAGGGACAGACTCAGGAGTGCTGTATCCTTAGAAGTTAACTATCTCTGTACTTCGCAGGGTTACTTTGGGCCAATTTTTAGCCAGATGTGTTCTCCTGATAAAGACAAAAACATGGCAATGTCTCCTCATTATTTCTATGAACTGTTGGGAGAGGTACAAAAGAGTAAGTTCTATTCTCTTCAACCAGCAAGAATTAAAGAAAAAAAATCTTTAATTTTTTTTGGTGCAGGAATTTGTATTCCTCATTATTAAGAATAGTCAATCTCACAGATGTTAAAGGGGCACACTTCATCAGTTTAACTGAGAAAGTCCAGGGCACACATCAGCCCCTCGAATAGCACAAAATCATGTTTATATTCTATAGTGTTCTCTGTGGCATCAGATATATACGTCTTACGTCTCCAGTTTATTTGGAAATGAGTAATTTGTTCACTAAGTCTCAGGTCTCAAAAACTCACCAGTTATAAAAAAGGGGGGAGGGGGCACCTGGGTGGCTCAGTTGGTTAAGTGGCTGACTTGGGCTCAGGTCATGATCTCGCCGTTCGTGAGTTTGAGCCCCTCGTCGGGCTCTGTGCTGACAGCTCAGAGCCTGGAGCCTGTTTCAGATTCTGTGTCTCCTTCTCTCTCTGCCCTCCCCCTGCTCACGCTCTATCTCTCTGTCTCTCAAAAATAAATAAACATTACAAAAAAAAAAAAAAACCTCACAAAGAATTCTAACCCCCATCTACTCTATAGTTCTTTCTACAACATACTCACTTTTTGTCTAGCTTGTGCCTGAACACTGTTAGATACAGAAAACTTATTTTATCCATTCCTTCATTGACTGGACAACATTCTTAGAATGCTGATACTTAAGTTGAATCAAAATCTGTCTTTCTACAGCTTCCAATTACTGGCCCAAGTATGACCTTGAGCTACATGAAAGCTATCCACATGAATTGGTTGGAAATAACTTGGTTAGAAACAAATATTTTCAGCCCATGGTTTTTCTTTATCTGTAATTTGGGCACACCCTGGGGCCAAGTTTTCAAACAGTTATCTGTCTTTAAATATTTCTGTTCATTTTTGTTTTAGAATTTTTCAGGGTGTTTTCCATTTATTTTATACCATTTGTAATTATTTTCTGTCAATTATATTTAACGTACCTATTTGGTAATATTTCCATAAATGCCTTAACTTCTGATCCAAGAAAGTCAATTTTCTGAAAACATTTGACAGAAAGTACATGTTAACATTTACCACTTCCTGTCTTCATAAGTTTTAGGCATCTACAGTCACCTATTTTTTTAAGCTATCCTTTTACACCTTTAAAGCTACTTTGGTTATTTTGTCTAAAAAATAATTTGTATCCATTGTTCTACTTGTTCTCTATGGCTCTACTTTTGCTATTTTTGATTTTAATATTTCCTTGACATGTACACCATTTTATTCAGCAAAACTTCTGTTGCTCTGTCATACCATGTAATCACTGTTTTTACTTTTAGGTCCCATCAGGATTGCACCTAGAGTGAAAAGCAAAGGTCACTGCCATAGTAATGTAGGGAGGAGTCTAGGTTTGTCAATATTGTGGCACCCATGGCATACACAAATGTCAGCAAATGAAATGCCATCTGGCATAGCACCTGCCACACAGGAGGAGAATCTGAAGTCACTGAAGATAAGCTTTACCATTCATTACCTAGAGCACAACACTCATCTTTGCTTCCTCAAGCCTATCCAAATTATAAGAGGAGTACTGTTTCTTGCCATTGCTCCAACTTCTGACCTTCCTTAAAAGGCAGGCCTAAGTTTTGATGTCATTGCCATAAGGATGCTGGTGATATGAGTCATTGGGCCATTCATGGTATAGATGACTAGTTCTGACTACTTTTCCCACTTAGTAATGTTCTGCTGTTTTATCAACTGAAGATCTCTGATCAACTGTGGTAAAAACCATATTCATAAAGAAAAACAAAGCTTTCATTAAAGGTAAAGGAATCCAACTAGCATATTTGGGATTTTCAGTGCTTTTTAGAATATTCACTTCATGGGCAAAGGCAAAAACAAAAAAAGGAAGAAAGAAAAGCTAAGAACAATGTCATACAAGAAATAAATAAGCAGGGGCACCGGGGTGGCTCAGTCGGTTAAGCTTCTGACTTCGGCTCAGGTCATGATCTCACGGTTTGTGAGTTTGAGCCCTATATCGGGCTCTGTGCTGACAGCTCAGAGCCGAGAGCCTGCTTCGGTTTCTGTGTCTCCCTCTCTCTGCCCCTCCCTTGCTCTTGCTCTGTCTGTCTCTCTCTCTCAAAAATAACTAAACATTAAAAAATTTAAAAAAACAAAAAATAAATAAGTAAGCA